GCAGCAGGTGTTTCATTTCAGAACATGTAGAGGACGGACGTCGAACGGGACCTGAATCACTGCCACTTCGGCGCCGTTGCCACAACAACACGTTCACAGACGAGCTGACAAGTAGTGGGCACGAAGGGAGCGTTGGCAACTTCACCGTCATCCCTGCCATTTTGGAAACATCACATTTTCTGAAAATAGATCACAGAGAAGTGACAGAAGTCTGAACCAGTCGGTGTTTGTCCGGAGTAAATCTGTTCTGTAGCTCAAAATGTAATCATCGCTGATTAATCAGTATCTGTGGATGACATCATCATCAACGTAAAAAGTCATCATAAATCGTTTAAAGGTCAACAGAGCAGCAAGTGTAGCAGAGACAAACACACAAACGCAGTCTCCCTCTGGCTGCGTTCCCCCTCCTCCATCCCTTTTCCGGGCACACGTTCAATTATTAACTGACCTGAAGACTCCAGCAGGAGACAGGCGGAGGGAGCAGCGGGGAAAAAAAGGAAGGTTCTTTATCAAACATCCTGCCGTGACCCCTCCTGACGGCGTGGGAGAGTCTGATCTTTAACCCTCCTCACAGCTAAGAGTGAACTTTACTACAACTCAGAACTCAGTTCACTCTGCCGCTGACAGGTGTTGGAGTGAACGGCGGCGGCGGCGCTCTCATCCCTGCAGCGACGCTGATTCTCCCCCCCAGACAGAAGCTGGTGATTGGTTAAATTTATATCAGGGTGAAATAAAGAAACATCTTTCTCAGATTTATATCCGTTTAAAAAAAAAAAAAGGAACACTTCATACACAATAGACACGTGATTGGACCAAATCTTTAACAACTTCATTGTTCAGAGAGTGGCAGAAACCGAGCGAAGAAAGTACGGAAATAAAGAGATTGATGAGGTTTTGTCTTCACCTCCTCCTCCTCCTCCTCCTCCAGCAGCAGTACAGTATGTAGCTGAGTGAGAGCCACATAAATGTTTCATGCACCACACTTCCTGCTCCACTGCGTGTGTGTGTGTGTGTGTGTGTGTGTGTGTGTCTACATGAAAAACTGCCTGGCTCTGCGCCGGAGGAACAAAAATAGATTCTGGTCTGTGGTCTGATCAAACTCCTTTGATGAGTCGTGTGAATCTGCAGCTGATCTGGAGCTTTGATGGTGGTTTACTCTGCTGCTGATTTTAGAAGAAGAATTAATGACAAAAAAAGCTGGTTGTTGTTTTTCACCTGTGATGTTATAATGTACAAATGGTTGACACAGGTCTGATGGTCTGTGTCTGAGGGAGACGTTCTGATCCAGACAGAATAGAACAGACAAACGTGGCGTCTGTGGACCGATGAGGAGAGAAAAGGCAGAAGTAAAATGATAATATAAATAAATTATACAATTTGGAAAAGTTTGGTGGGTTAGGGTTAGGATTAAAAAAGCTGAACGGACCGCATCTCTCACACTGGTTGTTGTTTTTCACCTGTGATGTTATAATGTACAAATGGTTGACACAGGTCTGATGGTCTGTGTCTGAGGGAGACGTTCTGATCCAGACAGAATAGAACAGACAAACGTGGCGTCTGTGGACCGATGAGGAGAGAAAAGGCAGAAGTAAAATGATAATATAAATAAATTATACAATTTGGAAAAGTTTGGTGGGTTAGGGTTAGGATTAAAAAAGCTGAACGGACCGCATCCAGGCCCCGGGCCTTAGTTTGCCCACACCTGTTCTAACTAGTTCTGCCGAGTGTTTCTGGGAGAACACGTATTTTCCAAGTGCCTCTGGTACAAACAGATTTACTTGTCATTTTTTCATTGAATCCTCACCCTGACTGTTGCAGTATTCTTGTGTGTGTAACCTGCTGTTCTTTCACTTCTCTTCAGGTCTTCTTATTTGAGGTCAAAGTTCACTGATCATCATGGCAGACGAAGCTGACATGCGCAACGAGCTGGCCGACCTGCAGACACGGGCAGACCAGATAGCTGATGAGGTAAAGTTGAAGACAAAAACAAATACACACACACTGAAGAAAGATGGTTTTTATCTTATCCCCCCCTGGTGGCCATATTTTTATTTCACAAATCACAGACCGTTTTGATGTCCACCTTTATCAGACGTTGAAAAATCTCCCAAAAGAGAACTCCAATCAATTCCAAACTTTTTTTTTAAAAGACTGAAGCCCTAACGACGTCACATTTCAAAATGACTGATTCCAGAGGAAACAAATGAATCTCCAGAAACTTCCGGGCCGTCGACCACCCACCCACCCCCTCCAGCCTCCTGTTCTCCCTGTCTCCTCAATCAAGACTGTGGATATTTCTAACAGGGAAGAACTTTCCCCTTCGTAACGACCTGAGAGGAGTTGGAGATGAGCAGTGGAATAATGGAGAAGCACAAATGGCTTCATTAAACATTCATGAGGAGATAATGTTGGGCCGAGAGGCTCCACGGATGAGAGGGGCGGAAATGAAGAGAGGAGAGAGCGAGGAGTGGAGGGATGGATGGAGAGATGAGGAGATTACGGAGGAGAAACTGTGCGACGGGGATTGGGAATAAAAACAAGGTTGAGTTTAAAGAAATGACCGGGATTCAAAGGGTCGTGAAGAAGGCGGGAAGGACGTCAGCAGGA